CACTAACACACACCTATCACTGTAAATCTTTGCCATGGTACCCAATATTGAATAAGTGAATGGACGAATGAATGAATGCATGAATGAGGTATAAAAGTGTATCAAGTAGGCATGTGTTTGGCTATAAATTAATTTTAAAAATAAAAGCCTTCACGTCAGGGAGCTACACAGATATGGATTCATGTTGTCTCCAGCAACAAGGAAGTTAAGGGCAGCACCTGCAGGCTGGGAGAGTGGGAGAGTGGAAGGTGACAAACCTCTCTCCTTAGAATCTCAAGAAGGTCACTGCATTTCTAGATCCCACATCCAATTTCTTCCAGGAAGGAAGAAGTCGGGGGGTGGGGAGAAAGGTCTTACCCTTATCCCTAGGGAAATTTGCCGTTTTGCTTGGGAAGGTAAGCTGTACATTTGCATCACTGGCCAGAGCTAAGCCAGATGATCACCCCAGGTGGAAAATGACTATTCAGCACTTCAGCCTCTTTAAAAGGGAGAGACAAGGGGAAAGCTGGTTAGGAGTGGGGTGCAGAGGGCCAAGTCCTGGTGTTATCTGCAGGCAGCTCTTTTCCCAAGAGTAAATGGTTTCCACACACCTTGCTTCTCATTGACACTGTTTGTTCAACTTATTGAGTCCAGGTTCTTGAGGTTGCTGTAATCAAGGGTCTTCTTCATTTCATTCTAATATTTCCAGAATCCATTGGAAAGCCTTGGCTTCCAGCCCTCACAACTATTTGAAATTGATGTGGACAGTTCACATTTCTATCCCAAACATCTGTCTAATTATATTCATTCCAATACCAACTTTTTCAAATTGATTCAGTTTGTTAACATTCTTTTTACCCTGCTTCATTTATATATGAGAGAATTTGAATTCAAACTCAATAAGGATGGGAATTGTATGGGGACTATAACCAAGATAAAAATGCACACATTGTGCAAAAATGAAAAATGATGTAAAAACAATAAAATAAAATTTAAAAAAATAAAAAACAATAAAATAAAATTGAAAAATAAAAATAAGGTCAGTATTCACTATCTTTTAGCTGTTTCTGGAGTATTTTTTTTACTATAGGCATATGTGCATATGTACTTTGCCATTGAGAGAACAGTTGTCAGGTCTCCTTAATGGTGCAGGGGGTTAAGTCTCAACACTATGAAACTATTGCCAAACACTGCGGCAAGAGTTTGATCCCCAGCCAGGGTGATAACCCACATGGCTCAGCAGACCTCTCCTGTCTCACCCGCTGCTCCCCTCAGCAGTGTATTTCAGTCTGCCTGTTCTGCTCCCCACTCTGTCTCTAGTGAATCCTCTCACCCCCTGTACCCCTGGCTTATACTCCAGTTCTTGTAAGCATAAATAAATAAAAATAAATCTTTAAAAAAAAGAGAGAGGACAGTTGCCACAGTTTTCACTCAAGGAAATCTGTATCAATTGCCTGGCATGTGATAAAGATATACAAGTAAAATAAAATTGTTTAGGGATTTGGAGAGTAACTATCCTATTAAGAAAAATAAATACGATAACCCTATCTTAGATCATACACAAAAACTAATTCCAGATCAACTAAAGATTTGAATACAAAAAGCAAAATTTCTAGAAAGAATGTCAGAATACTTACATCGTAGAACGCATGAACATAGAGACTGATAATGCTGCTGCAATTAAAGTTACTTCTGAATGAAATGAGAGACTATAGCAAATGTTTGAAACACAAGACCCAGAGCATGTGAAAAGACTTGAAATTCATTCCATCCGCTTTTTAAAAATTGATATCCAAAATATTAAAGGAGACCTATATCTATAAAGACATTTCAAAGAAACTGAAAAGCTAAAATACATAATAGAAGACTGGAAATTTACTCAAGAAAAAATCTGAATGATCTGTAAATATTCCAAGAATTAATTAATTGATAATCAGGGAACTGAAAAATGAATATGGTACTCATTCATACCCACCAAGTTGGTAAAATGCATCTCTGTCAATACTAAGTGCCAAAGGCTGCTGGAAAAGAGGAATCTCTGAAACACTGCTGATGGCCATTTCAATAGGCACAGATACTCTGAAGACACTGGGACCATCTAGCGCACCCAATGACTCAGCAATCCTGCTCCCCAGTATCTACCCTGTGAAAAGCCACTTCCACGTATACAGAAAATATACCAAAAACATTCACAGTAGCTTTGTTTGTGACAACAAAAATTTGGAAACAATCTAATTGTCCATTAGTAAGATAATGGGTAAATAAATTATATCATCCAATGGAATGCTACACACTCATTAAAATGAGTGAGCTAGAGCTCAGGTACCAAGATGGATAAAACCCCTCCATCTGTTTAAGTCCACTCCTGCTCCAAGTCCTTGCTCAAGGTTAGCCCTTGCAGAAACTTGCTCTGCTGGCTCCAGCCTTAATTCTCCCTTCACAGTGTCTCTTAGGACACTCACCCCCTCAGCAGCACAACATCGTGCAGTAACCTCACCAGTATTCCTTTTCTTTTTCTTTGGAATCTCAGCTATTTTGATAGGGGAAAAACTCTCATTTTAATGTACATTTATCTATGAGTCCTGAGGTTGGACATTTTTCATATTCACGTTATTTATGTGTCTGTCTTCTGTCTTACTCATTTATTGGTATTCTTCATAGCCTTTTGAACATGCTTCCTAGCACATATTAAAATCAGGAAATAATGTTGAACTACATGAATAAAAGCTGGAGATTCAAAGTGAAGGAACAAAAAGATTCAGATAAAAAAATCACTCCCACATAAGCTGTGTACTAAAGTATGAAAACAGGTCACTATATTACAGACTTGCCGGCTGAAGTCCTTTCTCAATTAGGTGAACGGAACACATATCTTTGTTGCTTTCATGAAATTGGCTGTAGGAGGCATCTGTCCCTTAGAGCTTAAATGGCTTCTGCTAGTTTGAGGAACAAGCAATACTTGATGCAGACAGAAAGTTTAGAGAAGCCAAGAGAGTATGTAGCCTGAGCCAGGCTTCCTACAAGTCCAATCTATACAATACACCTTAAATTCTGAAAATGTGTGACTTTAGTCCCTACAGTTAACGAATGTGTGCTTGGAGCGGTTCCTATTAACCTTATCACTTCTAAGACTTACGGTTAATGGACAGAGTCATAATTCAAATGTTTACATAAAGACAGTCACCTTTTCTCCAGGAAATGCAAGCTACTCTTTTCCCCACCAGTTCACATGGCACTTAATGGTCCCTGGGTTTTTCTACTGTATCTTCGTAGGCTTATAGAGACCCCAAGGGTCATTTCCAGACAGCACAGTTTGGATAACAGCTTCCAGTAACTAATTCTGCCATTCAAACACAGAAGTCAAATTGGGAATCAGAGGTTCAATGTAAAAATGATTTGTAACTAAAAGAAACAGCTGGGGAACTGGGATTACCAAAATCATGGCCAGCAATGATCACTGCAAGTTTCCTCTCTTTTATGAATCATTTATCATTCTGTCTGGATTTTAAACTGTAGCATCAACTAATCCAGATTTTAAAGGAACACTTGGCTCCCAGGGTGCTAACCCTACAAAATCTCTTCCACAGAGGTTGGTCAAGACCTCAGAGCAAAAAGCCTTTTGAAGATAAACTCCAAAATACTACATGCTCAGGAGTTAACCTGCACTGACCCCCAACTGAGTCAGTATCAGGTTTTACAGTTGTTGCAGAACACAGAACACCACAAAGGATCGGTTTGTCATATTTCCACTACATTAGCCCCTTTTGGATATATATATATATATATATATTCCACTGGAAAGCAAAACCAAGCAAAATTATGACAATAGCATTGCCCAAAATATCATGCCTTCTCTGAATATTCTACCAACTTCTAAATTGTATTTTCATTAAAAAATGTATATGGAAATTGATCTATATAAATTGTTCAAGGAATATCTTTGCTTTTTTGTTCATTTGCATGTTTGGTTTTTAGTATCATACAAAAATAAATAAAACTTTGTACTGAATCTGTCACCATCATGAGTAAATATATTTCACAAAGGATTTTTTTTTTAAGTCAACATAAAGCAGACTTTGGCTTATATTCAAAAGTTCCCTAGGGAACCGAGTTTACATTTGAGTCCTGATTTAGCTAAAAGATTTATAAGGGCACATGTAGAAATACAGGTCCCTCTTGGGTGATGAACCAGGGCGCAGACATAATTATGATTCGCTCTGCTCGCCATTCCTCGGGAAATTGCTCCCAGGAGCGCAAAGGTGAGTTGGTCATCAAAAGAAGAACACAAAAGTTCTCTGCACTACGACCATCGGGTCACCCTCCCAATCTCCAAGACCAACCTGAAGAACAGTAGAAGATGATACACAACTCTTCACAGATAGTAAATGAGTGGGAATATTTGCTTCCCTGGGAAAACTAATGTGAGTGATATGTTTTGCAGACCTTGAAGCCAGATCTGCTTGGATTTATCATCCTTACAGGCAGTTGCTCAGCTCAGCAGCCATGAATGCAGTAGTGACACCCAAGAGCCCAAGCAAAAAAAAATGTCGCCAAGTAACATGGGTAAAACAGTCCCAAAATGGAAAACTGAGATTTTCCTTGTAAAGAAACAAAATTGCTTAATAACTTGCTGAAATTTCTCAAGAGTGAGGTAACGCACACAGAGGCCTAATCTTGGCAGCCTCTCCCCTCTGCAAAGGTCCCTAAATCATCACCTTAGAGGACAGAGTGGGGGACCAATTCATCAGTCCGCTGGGGGCACCACAAGTTGCTTACAAGCCTCGTGGGCTGGCAGTGTTGTTGCAGGTGCCTTGGGCCGTTACTACTGCTCTCAAGAGCTGTCACAGCAAAGAATTGGGCCACCCAGAAAACTTGCATGAGCCTGTTCTTGAAACACAAGGGATGTGTGTCAGTACTCAGTTATAGAACAAAAACAAGATTTAACACGGAGATTATAGAAAGAGCTCAATTCTTTCACTTGATGACCCCCTCCTCACCCCCCATCAACCATGTCCACTCACCTCCACTAACGGTTAACTGCAGCAGGGTCCCGGTCTTACAAAACTTATTCATAAATAAGGAGATGAAACTTGCATAACCTAATTGCTGGCCGTGATCTTGGTCATTTCAATTCTCCAGCTGTTCTTTATTGACAAGTCTTTTCTACATTGAACATTTGATTCACAATCTGAACCACTGGTTTGAATGGAAGAATTAAGCTACTAGACACTGTTATCCAAAAACTATGCTGTCTGGGCAGCAATCCCTCTGCCTACCTGTGACTATGCAAGTGTTTTTTTTTCACCAACTCTCTCCTCTGCAGGGAAGCAGCCTTCCTGCCCGCCCGTGACCTGTACCATGACGGGGGCTTCTCTTCCTTGACCTCCCTCAGCAGGGCAGCTCTCCTCAAGGCCACCCACCTGCGACGATGCAGGCCTCTCTCAGCAAACCTGTCCTATCTGGGGCAGCTCTTTCTGCCCACTTGTCTCTACACAAGTGCCCTTTATTCTTCTGTCCCTTTCCCTAACAAACCTGTTCTTTAAATATAACTGATCTTTGATGGACATTATTGTAGCAAATATTGTCTGACCTATTGTTTCAATAAACCAGAAGACAAGTAATTGGGTATGGCTTCATAATAAAAGACATTAACATTAGGAAAAAAAAAAAAACTATGCTGTCTGGAAATGAGCCTTGGGATCTCTAGGAGGCTACAAAGAAGCAATAGGAAATCCAGGCACCACTAAATGCCATATGAAGTGCTGGGGAGAAAAACAACTTGTATGTCCTGGAAGAGATGTCCAAATTTGGGGAAAATTTGTAAGATAGTATTCATAGTATTTGCTGAAAGTCTGATGGCCAAGTAAGTTCCATGAGGAGAAGCGATTTAAAATTATTATTTTCATCCCTTTTAGCTCTGTGGACCAAAACATTGGTCATCATGTATTGTTTATCCCCTAAAGTAAGGTTATGTAACACTATTTCCTCATATTTCTGTTGAGGATTTCCTATCCCTTTGACCAAAGAAACTCACGATTGTAGGTTTACCAGCTTGCTATTATTTTTATTTTTCATCATTATTTTCACATCCAGTGTGAATGTGTCCCATTTTTTAATCTCAGAAAGTGTTTATGAAAGTTAATGTCAATTTTGGATACCCACATCATCAATCTCTCTCTACATCAGAATGAGTTTCATCTGCTAATTTGTGTGAGCGCCTGCCCATCCACAAATGGCCTCTGAGTCTGTGGGCCCCAAGGTCCACTCTTGGGATTAGCCTATTCCATGGATCACAAGTTACATAGGACATGGCACTGAAGCTGTCCTATAACTGCTGCATTGAAAAAAAAAGGGGGGGGGACATTTTCCCTAACTGTCAACCTTTCTCTTGATCATTAACATAATTCCCTGGGATTAAAGCAATAATGCCAGGAGCTTCTTTTCCATCCTAAAGAATGTCTCTATTTTTTTTTAAAGATTTATTTATTTATGTATACAAGAGCTGGGGTGCAGGCTAGAGATGCAGGAGTGGGGGGTGAGAGAATTCACCAGAGACAGAGTGGGGAGCAGAACAGGCAGATCCACTGAACTACACTGCTGAGGGGAGCAGCAGGCGAGACAGGAGAGGTCTGCTGCTCCATGTGGGTCACCTCCTGGCCGGGAATTGAACTCGTGCTGCAGTGTCTGCTGCAGTGGCTGCGGATAGCTTCACAGTGCTGCATCTTAATCCCTTGCGCCACCAGGGATGCCCTTTTTTTTAAAGATTTATTTACTTATGTTTCTTATCCTTATCCTTGGGTGTGTGATATTCAAAGAGCAAGGAGAGTAATCACTATTTTTTTCCCAATAAGCACAAACTTTATTCTTCATATTCACCTAACTAGCTACAAATGGAAAAATTGGTAGTGAAAATGAAAATAATGGGCCTCCCCGGTGGCGCAGCGGTTGAGCGCTGGGTTGCGAAGCTGCCCGCAGCCTCTCCAGCGCCGGTTCGATCCCCGGCTGCTCCCGGCCACTGGAGGAGGGTCCCACGTGACGCGCAGACCTCTCCTGCCGCTCCCTGCTCCCCTCAGCAGTGTACTTCGGTCCTTTTGCCTGCTCTGCTCCCCGCTCTGGCTCTGGTGAATTCTCTCACCCTCCCGCGCTTCTGACTGTACCCAGTGCATGTATAAACAAAACAAACAAACAAATAATAAATAAATAAAACATGCCTCTATAAAAAAAAATTAAAAAAAAAAGAAAATGAAAATAATTTACACGTGGAAATACTTGTTTTGTGAAGACAGACATATTTTTGACAATTTTAACAAGTGACCTTTCAAAATCACAGTGATGTGAAAAAAAGGAAGGAAAATCAAAACAGAAGCAGCAGTAAATGGAGAAATGAACATGCCCACAACATAAGGCATCTGTGATGTTAAAAAGAATTGTCTCTGGGGTCTCCCCGGTGGCGCAGCGGTTGAGCGCTGGGTTGCGAAGCTGCCCGCAGCCTCTGCGGCGCCGGTTCGATCCCCGGCTGCTCCCCGGCCACAGGAGGAGGGTCCCACATGGTGCGCGGACCTCTCCTGCCACCCGCTGCTCCCCTCAGCAGTGTACTTCGGTCCTTCTGCCTGCTCTGCTCCCCGGCCACAGGAGGAGGGTCCCACATGGCGCACGGACCTCTCCTGCCACCCGCTGCTCCCCTCAGCAGTGTACTTCGGTCCTTCTGCCTGCTCTGCTCCCCGCTCTGGCTCTGGTGGATTCTCTCACCCTCCCGTGCTTCTGACTGTGCCCAGTGCTTGTATAAATAAATAAATAAATGAACAAACAAACAAACAAACAAATAAATAAATAAATAAATAAAAGAATTGTCTCTGCAAGAAGCAGGGAAGCCAGATGCAGGCTCCACCAGTGAATAATCCATGACGGTTAAAACTGAGCGCTGCAGGTTACTCAAGGCAAGAGCAACACTCTGCTGCTAAATAAGAACGATTACACCCAAGAGTTTGTAATTAGCATTCAATGAGAAGGGCAAAGAAATAAGAAGAAGAAAAGAGTATGCCTCATTGAATGTAACTAATCTGCATTATAATAACCTGCCTGAAGCTCATAGATAAACAAGGTCACCATTTTGTCATGCACAATGGAAAGAGCAGGCCATTGAACCATGTGGGAGAACTTGTTGGCTTTATCAGATATCTGCAATTATCTGTCCCTGGCTGCTTGGAAATGAGAAATCACAGTACAGTCGCACCTGTTTCTAATATAAATGCGCTTCAACTGCGATGAAAACGCACTGTGTTATTTGGAAGTATAGACAGAGGCAGTCACATGCTTAAGACCTACCTGATGGGCCTCCCTGGTGGCACAAGGGGTTAAGCATCAGCTCTGTGAAGTTATCCACAACTACTGCAGCACGAGTTCGATCCCTGGCCAGGGTGGTTACCTACATGGCACAGCAGACCTCTCCTGTCTCCCCTCAACAGTGGATCTCAATAGATCCGCCTGTTCTGCTCCCCACTCTGTCTCTCATGAATCCTCTCACCCCCCACACCTCTGGCCTGTACCCCAGTTCTTGTATGCATAAATAAATAAATCTTTAAAAAAAAAAAAGAAAGAAAGAAACTGATGAACCCAAGATGAATTCAAGCCATCACACTGGGCAGGCAAATATACCAGCTGGTCTTGAGTGTTTTTTCCAATACTTTGATGCTATAATTTTTCTCTACAAACTTCAATATCTCCATGGAAGACAATCACTTCCATCATCAAATACACTTTGGGGTCTCCTACCTAGAAATTAAAACCAAAACAAAAGCACATTTAAAGACTTTCACTTGACTCCTGTCCCTACTTTATTTGGTTCATTAATTTCTCCATCACGCGGTCTCTCACTGCTGCTAGCATCCTCTTTTTCCCACTTTTCGAAGATGAATATTTGAAGTGGGACTTGAAGGATCACTAGCACTTTATCAAGTGAGAGGTAAAGAACTAGGAGTTGTTTTTCCAAATGGGAAGGAATGATTCCCCCGCCCCGTCCGCCTCCACTGTCGGGGTCAAAGAGAGGTGAGAAGGTCTTTGAACAGCTTCAGTTACCACAGAAGCACCATTCTAGAATCTTCCACTGGATCCAAGTCAGCAGCTCTATGTCTGCTCTTATTGGTTGTAAAGAGTTAACTTGGCTCTAGGGAACTATATCTGCATGAAGTTATTAACTGCTCTAATCAATTGTGTTGAGAGAAAAGAACAGCCAGTATAATGGCAATGGCTAATACATTTTCATTTTGGTCAATAAATGCTATTTCCTACGCCACCAAATCTTTCATCAAAGCTGCCGCTGAAAGAACCCATCAAATAAGGGAGTCTTGCTCTTGTGTCTCAGGCTATCTTTTGGTGAAAGTGCTAATGAATGGTTATACTCCCCCAAATGTAAAGCGCACTTTAATTAAAAAGTCAGCACATGCACTTAACACCACTGAACTGTACTCTTAAAAATGGTTAAAGTGGCACATTTTATGGTGTATGTGTGTGTGTGTGTGTATAGCCACAATATTTTAAAGCACCACTAAGATTTAATCACATAATGAGATGAAAGTTTTAAGCACGTTAGCCTTCTAAGACAGTAGGAAACCAATACCTAGAACTCTGCTTGTCAGCATGGGCAGTGAGGGAGGGTGGAGGGGCAAGAATTATAGCGCCTGTACCCAAGGAGATTTAAAAGTCTTTAAGCTGAGAGTAACACTCAGTATGAATTTACCGGCAAAAGACGGGCCACACTGCCCTAGAGGACATTCTAAGTTGCCTCTCAAGCTGTCTGCATTCTTTTTTCTGCAGCTCTGTTTGTCTAGTGATTTGGAAGGGGAAGGTCAAGGCCCGGGGTGGAGGGCCAGACTCCAGATGTTGTGGCTAACCTTTGAGAACCAAATTCACTCTTTCCACTTGGATGGTCTCTCAACAATAGTATGATTGGAAAAGAGAATGGCTCCACGCCAGAAAATCCTTCTGCTCTGTGTTTACTATGTGTATGATTTTATGTTCCACTCTCAATGCATAGTAGTAACAAGCTGCACTGATGTTGCACTTGCTGTATGCAAATACACCACTTGGCCTGGAGGCTGTGGGGGTTCAAAAACCAGACTCCCACCATCAGGAGGCAGAGAATTTGGATGGGTTGACATAACATGTTTCTAATTAGTAATGGTTACCCCAAGGAGATTACCAGTGAAGATTAATTACAAGGGGGGTTTTATTTTTATTTTTATTTTGAAGTGCCAAAACT